TACTTAATAATTTCACATTTCAATGTGTTACCTGCTGTTTCTTTGTAATTGTACAATTTACTAGCAATTTCTGAGTGTTTCAAAGTAAATCTTTTTTTTTTTTTCAGCATAGACCCTGCAAACAGATTAAAAAAAAAAAAGATTTGTCTGAAATGTCACCTAAATTTGTACTTAATTTACACACTTTGTTTCCCAAAAATTACCTGTTCACTTTCTCTGAACCTTAATTCTGTATTCTGTATTGGTGTTTTTCCATTCTTTCTGAAAATTACATTGTTTATCAAGTAGGTGGCGACAAGTAAACATCTTAATGCATGACTCATTAAATGATTAATTCAGCTGATTCAACTGAAAGCACTGATTCGTTCAGGAACAACTATATTTCATTCAGGAAGTGTTTGTATTTATAAGTGAGTCATTTAATTATTCATTCATTCAACTGAATCATTCAAATCTCTATCTATCTATCTATCTATCTATCTATCTATCTGTCTGTCTGTCTGTCTGTCTGTCTAAATATACAGTATATCTGTCTGTCTGTCTATAGACAGACACACACACACACACACACACACACACACACACAGATAAACATTGCTTTATTACTTACACTTAGCATACTGCAGTCATCCAAAGTTTTTTTTTTTCTTTATAAACTGTTAAATGGTTTTATGAGAAGTTAGGCTCAAGGTCAAAGTTTTGTAATAATGAAAATAATAAATGTGAAAATAATTCAGTGAATAAAAATATTAGTTAAAGCCCAGGTTTAGTTATGCTAACATCCTTGTTTTGTTGATGCCATCAGCACTGACAATGACTTTGCAGTTGCCTCAATAATAAACTTGCCTGAGTGCTTCTTTGAAACACTAACATTTTAATAAAAAAAAAAACAATATTACACAACTAAAATCAAATTATGTGGTAATAGACTACAACTCTCTTTCTAAGTAAACAAAATGAAGAAGTAAGATAATTACCTATAAGGCTGTATGTACAAATACCCTGATGAGATTAACTGCTGCCTTAGACAAGAAGCTTATTAAATCTACACATCCTACACAATGTGTTAATATAATTATGTGGTGAAAAACATGCATGCTTACACACAGCTATAAGTGTATACAAGCACACATCTGTTGAAAGTGAAAAAAAGTGAAAGTGACGTGTGGACAAGCATTGTGTCCCATACTTGGAATTTGTGCTCTGCATTTAACCCATCCAAGTGCACCCACACAGCAGTGAGTAGTGAACACCCACACACACACAGTGAACACACACCCGGAATAGTGGGCAGCCATGTGCTGCGGCACCCAGGGAGCAGTTGGGGGTTCTGTGCTTTGCCAAGTATTGTGTCTGTCAAATTTGTGCTCTGCATTTAACCCATCCAAGTGCACCCACACAGCAGTGAGTAGTGAACACCCACACACACACAGTGAACACACACCCGGAATAGTGGGCAGCCATGTGCTGCGGCACCCAGGGAGCAGTTGGGGGTTCTGTGCTTTGCTCAAGGGTCTCACCTCAGTTGTGGTATTGAGGGTGGAAGAGAGCGCTGGTCATTCACTCCCCCCACCTACAATCCCTGCCAGTACCGGGAATCAAAACCGCGACCTTTGGGTTACAAGTCCGACTGTCTAACCATTAGGCCACGACTGCCTCCAGGACAAGGTCCCACCGAGATGCAAACAACACAATGCCGCATTATAGAAGGCGTATGAAAGGTTGCAGAATGCGCACAGACGGAGAGAGACAGAGAGAGAGAGAGTAGAGAAGCATCATTTAGCTTTGTTACAGAAAACCATTAAATCTCCTGGTATGGACAATGAAATCAACCCATTTTATTCATCCAGACAGTGTCATTTTTCACAGTGTGGACACAACTGCAGACACAGCTTTGACAGGAAAAGACTTCAAAAGTTGATGGATGTGTAAAATGTCTCTCTACTTGGTGTATTTACTCTATTCTCTATGAACAAGACAAACTGAACGATTTATGGATGGATAAACGCACTATAAAAAAAGAGAACAATTTTTTTTTTGAATCTACATAAGACATTTAAGGCAAATCATAATTGTTACACAAAAAGTCAATATTAAGAGATACTAAGTAATAATTATAAGCAAAAGAAAAAGATGTTACGCAAGTCAAAATTATGACAAGACAAAGCTAAAAAAAGCTACAAAGTCATAATTATGAGGTAAAAAATTTTTTAATTATGAGCTAAAAAGTAAAAAATATGAGCTAATAAGATGATATTGAATTCGAAATTGAAGTCGAAATTATGACAAAAAGACAAAGCTAAATAGTTTAAAATATTTTTATGTGGTGGAAATGGACTTCCATAAATGTTAAACCAACATAAAACTAAATATATTCCCCCAAATTATTAATATCAGTATCATCATAGATATCAATCCATCATGTTTGATGTTTTAATTGTTTTAACCTTTTTATCAAAGAGACAAACAGCTCTTAAACTCAAACAGTGAGACCCATTCAGGTTAGATGGCAAGATTAACTGTCAAAAGCTGTTGATATTATGATGTCCCTCTATTCAAACATAGAGGGCACCTGATGTTACTCATTAGGAAGAATCATCCAGCTGTTGACATCCACTGCATCTGATTGACTTCACTTGGCCCTCTCAAAAGCTCTCAGCTGCACAAGAGCCAGATCCATACACAAAGATTGAGAGCTTTGCGTATGACAAATAAACACCAAATTATTGATATATATTCATAGACTATGGGCTTTATTGACATTATGGTTTTTGGGTTGTGATTTATAGTGAAAATAGGTTCTAAACTAAATAAACACATTTGCACATTTGCTCAATAAATAAATTACTCTCCAATTAGGGTATGAAATATATTTTTTAAAAATCAGGTTTTAAGGATTGATTATAATAACTTCAAACTTTTATTGTCTATTTAATATTTTTAATTAACTCATTTTTATATTTTTATAATTACAAATTTACATTTGCAAATTTTAAACTGTACATTTTAATTTTAATTCCAAAAGCATCGTTTTGTATTATAAGTTCAGTCAACTGACTGCTAGCTTAGTTGCATTATAAAAAAATCTGATAAATCTTGACATACACTGCCAAAACAGTTTTTAACGTTTTTTTAATAGCAAGGATACATTAAATTTATCAAAAGTGATCAAATATGATCATGACATTTATTTATTTATTATTCTTTTTTTTTTTTTTCAAAGAATCCTGGAAAAAAAATGTATCACGGTTTCCACAAAAAATGCAGAAATATGTTTTATTTTTAATATATTGAAATATTTAATTATAATATATTATATAATTTCTATCATTTCTATAATTCAAAAACCATTTAAGGATTGTTAGGCTGCATAATTTATGCCAGCTTGAACTGGGAACACGTCCCCTAACACCCAATGTTCCAAGAATGGCATCCACGTTTATATTAGTCTGCCTGTTTCATCCTAATTCCGAGGTTACCATGTGATGTATCCCAACCTTCAAGCAGAAGGAACTGGATGAAAATTCTAAATGCTATACCAATCCAAAATTCTGACTTGTGATGCAGACCTGGAATTGATCCACACCATGTTGGTTCGTCTGCCAGAGGAGAACTGACAAACCAACTAAGCCTGTTTTTTTTGTTTTTTTTATAAATTTTTGTCACTGATGGAGTTTATGTTCTTTGCCATTGTCGCCTGCACATAAAAAACAACCCCAAACTTTTGAATGGTTGTGTAGACCAAACACAACCATTGTGTTGAAGTAGTTAAAAGTGCCCTTAAATGTAGAATCACTCAAACATATTTGATTCAATGCAGCAGAAGCAGAAAGGGAGATGAACAAGCAAATGCCCCCTCAAAATAGTTTGACATGAACTAGTGAGCAGGAAGTGATGCGATGAGCATGCATGCCACTCAGTGGACCTCAGTGGAGGGCAATACCATGAAAAGTGTGTCATTCTATAAGGTTACTCTGTTCCATTTTCACACTCACACAAACACGCACTCAATGCTCAGAGAAAGGCACTGTACCTTCAAGCCAAACTGTGAATGAAGAAACATTCAAACACTTTCTTGACAGCTTAACTTTGTTGATATTATTGCACTTCTTTGAGGCAGAGGGGAATTTGTGAACAACATATTTCTGTGAACTCAGTACATCTTAGGCCTGTTTCACACTGTACATAAGAAGTGCATAAGCTGCAGTGCAACTACACACTGCATTAAAGGCAGAGGTGGAAAGAGTACGAAAATATTCTACTCAAGTAAAAGTACCATTACATTAATTAAATTTTCCTTAAGTACAAGTAAAAGTACCAGAATTAAAGGAATCAGTTATTTAGAATAATAAGACATTTGCAGTAATCAGGCAAATTAAATCAGTATCAATCAATGCAGAGGAAACAAGCTTCAATGGAAGTGGCATTTAGATGTATTTACACACTGTTTAATGCACGACATGATGCATTTAACCTGCAGATACTAATGCAGAAATAATGTTTTGATATATAAGACATAAAATGTTGAATACTCATCTGAAATGATAAGAAAAAAGATAAAGATACTTTAAATATGAAATTAAAACCGCCAGTAGGTGTCAGCAAGTCACTGTTAATAAGTGAGTCATTGCGATTGAACCGAATCATTTAAACGGTTGATTCATTCAGGAACGAAACACCGTCATGTTGGTCAGAGACGCAAAACTGTGCTATGGTGGCTGTGTTTGGAATTATTTTTGTTGTAGAAATAGAGCAAAATATCTTAGATATCTGCCCCTATATCTTGAATTTTGTGATCATTCTAAATGCCTTTTAACAGACTGAATCACGCAGTGAAAGAACGCACTCTAAATGCGCGCGCACTAGTCTAGTCTACTAGACTTCATTGCACTCTGTAGGAGTGTTTTGTTTGATTTTTGGCAAAATACTGCTAATGTCAAATCGCGCATCGATAAAACACAACAATTACGATATTATCGCAGACGATATATATCGCACACCCTGCACCACTGTCTTTTTGGCTAATTTGTGCAAAACCTGTTGCTAAACTGTCAAAGCTTCATTTTAACCACCAATGCAACAATGCAAGTATACCTTACCTATACATGCTTGCGCAGGGTTGATGTCGAGATTTTATAAGCTGCTAGTTTGGTCTCCCTATATAGGCAAACACAGCTTACATTGCATAATAGAGCTTAAATATGTCCAGGGGTTCACTTCATTTCCTTTGATTTCAAATTCAGCAGAATACGACGGGGTTAATGTAATTTGTTACTTTCCACTTCTGATTAAAGGAATAGTTCATCCAAAAATAATAACTGAAAATTTACTCAACCTCAGGCCGTCCAAGGTGTAGATGAGTTTGTTTCTTCATTGGAACAGATTTGGAGAAATTTAGCATTACATCACTTGCTGACCAATGGATCCTCTGTAGTGAATGGGTGCCGTCAGAATGAGAGTCCAAACAGCTGATAAAAACAACACAATAATCCACAAGTAGTCCACATGAATCCAGTCAATCAATTAATGTCTTTTGAAATGTAAAGCTGCGTTTTTGTAGTAAACAAATCTATCAAGATGTTTTAACTTCAAAGCATTGTTTCCAACTAAAATGTTAGTACTCTATTCATATTGCTTTCTCCGGTGAAAAAGTGTCAGAATCAGAAGAGAAATATGCACAGATCAAGCACCAAGCGAAAACACTTATGTTGGTGGATTTTGATGTGAGAGAACAACAGCGGATGGAGTCATACAGTACAGTATACAGTTAAAACAGTTTACAGTTAAAACGCCTTAATGACGGACAAAAATGCAGCCTTTCACTTTACTACATGTTAACTGATGGACTGGAGTCGTGTGGATTACTTGTGGATTATTGTGATGTTTGGTCTATCATTCTGAGAGCACCCATTCACTGCAGAGGATGCATTTTCAGCAAATTTTCATTTTTGGGTGAACTATTCCTTTAAAATGACAGCATTTCCTGTATCACAATAGAAACTAAATTGAGAATGATTTCAAACTTCATCATCAATAAAAATGAATTTACATGAGAAGAGGAACCACATTTACATCTAAAAGGTCATTATACATGAAACGCAAACCAAAATGCCTAAAAATCATCTAGATTCAGTCACATTTACTGAATATTTAAAACATATGCTTGAGTTCAGTGGCGATAGTCTGCGACGTAGCACCTTTCTGCTTGTGCAGACTGCTGCACAGTGTGAATGCTGTGACCTGTATCATGACTGGCAAAATAAACATGTATGCGGTGTGTTAGAGTTAAATTGATTTCACCATCAGTGGATTGAGAGAACTGTTATCTTTAAATCTATCGTTGCATAAATAGAAACGACCCCCCCATTAACCCTACAGTTACATTTCTATCATTCTTTAATGCTGTTTGGTCATCATGTGATTCAAGCCGAATCTCTCAACGTCACTTAATTGATGCTGTGAGGGATGAGGAACAAATCTTCTAACATGATTCACTGCCAGGAAGCTCAAGTTGGAGGCATATTACATGCAATTTTCTATTCTGTCAGAGTGAGTCAGAGCCCCCATGCTGAGCCCTTTTCTTTTCATTCGCTAGCTTTCCACAATTCTGTGTATTATTTGACCTTGGTTTCCGATTTTTCTTCTGCCCACTTGGAGGGGTTTGAGGGTGGCACGTTGAGGCAGATGGGTGTAATTATGCCATTCTTTTCCCCTCTCTTCGACTAGGCCAGATGACCTGCTTGATTTCCAGAAAAGTCCAATTACCTTTAAATATATTACCTATTAGCTGAATGCAGAAGGATGTAAAAGTTCTGTTGGGATTTTAAATAGATATATTGAGACAGAAAATAAATAAATGAATAAATATATTAGTTAAAAAAACACAATAAATAAATATATTAAACCAACATACTAGGAAGGGTTGATATTATTTCCTAATTAACTGCATAGTATAGCAATGACAACTCCCACATGAGAGGAACAGCTGCCAAGAAGTACTGCAAAACCATTCACAGCTCTTTTGCGCTCCTGACAGAATCGGACTGAACAGAGCCATATGGGACTGGCAAAGCTGTCGCTCACCTGAGGAACACTTAAGCATAACAACCAGCTGGCGACAACCCAGAAGAGTTTATCTTACACATACTCTCTTACACACACATGCAAACACATATTATATGCAAAATAAAATATAATAGAAAATAAAAATAATAATATTCTTATATACACACTGCCGTTCAAAGGTTTGGGGTTGATAAGATATTTTTTTTAAATGTTTAAGAAGCCTCTTATTCTCATCAAGGCTGCAAACAAAGTAAAAATAAAATATCATTACAACTGAAAATAATTATTTTCTATTTTAATATATAAAATATTAATATATAAAGCTGAATTTTCAGCTCTTACTCCAGTCTTTGGTAAAAACACTTATTCTTATTATCAATGTTAAAAAGTATATTGCTCCTTAATATTTAGCTTCTTTTTTTTTTTTTTTGGTGAAAAGAAAATTTTAATGAACAGCAATTATTTGAAATACAAATATGTTGTAACATTATAAAATGTTTTTACTGTCACTTTTGATAAATTTAATGCTGGATAAAAGTATTACTTTTTTTATTAAAAAAAAAAGAAAGAGAAAAAATATGTACAAATAACTAATATCAAAATAACAGTGCTCAATTAGTACAACACTAATAATATTATTTAAATATAAATGGATATCTATTCACATGAATATGACAGTTCATCAAAAAATTTTAAATGTTTGCTATGACTTCAGATAGGTATTGGTACAAATACACTAGGTTGTACTGAGCATGTCTGAGTCAAAAACAGCTTTCAGAATTCATATTATTAGCCCACAATCCTTCACAATAGCAAAAAGCCCAAGAAGCTGCCACCAACTAAGTTCAACACTAACTGGATGTCAATAAAAACGGTGTTCTAAAATGTGTCTCTTCATTTTCCAGAGCATGTGACAAAAAATAGGCTATGCCATTTACCCAAACAGCACAAACAAGCAGGGGTTATCTGTGTTATTGCACAGGGGGAGGTAAATCCAGCATGTGATCAGAATCTAAATGACTTCGCTCTAACAGCTGCCCCCTCCGCACAAGCTCCTCAGTCACTGATCCTGCTTAAAACTGCCAAGAAGGAATTATTAGAAGCTGGATTCGGAGGCTCCCCGTCGGATTGCACTGGCAGGTCATGAGGATGGGAAAGAAGCCAATAACCTTTCACTGACAAAGTGCCTGTGTCACTTAGGAAAACACAACCACTCTTTAATTTAGCCCTCCTCCGTTCGGGTGAGAGAAACAGCTAATCAATTAAGCAGCAGTGGATATCTGTCAGGGGACTTCAAGATTTGTTTGTCATTGAAAAAGCTTGGAAGTGGGTGGCTGTAAACAATGTTTTAAATGTACCCCATCCATCATGTTGGTCCTTGACCTGGTTCCTTTATGTACAGGCTGTAGGTTGTAATCTATGTTTTTTGTTGAAGAGAACGGCAGGAATGTGATGAATTGGCCACACTGATGAAGCCTGCGCTGGAAATGTTCCCAGCGAGCAACAACATATTGCCGACTTGGAAAATGATTCAGTAATGCCACATTCAGCCTGTAGCAAAGAAATTTCGAATGTCACTTACAAATCAGGAAGCGTGGGTACGAATCGAGATTCATGGCAGCACCACAATGAGTTTTCTTTATTTCAGGAATAAACAAACAAGCTCTGTGTAATTTTCTATTTTGGTGCTGCAATGACAAAATACATTGTGCCGGGCCAACTGAAATATTTACGCAATTAACCTCAATCACCGTAATGGCTCTTCAGCGGACAGAAATGAGTGAGTCGGCCTAAGAGCGGAGACTCAGACCACTTTTTGTAATGAAAAGACTTGGCTGTGTTTCAGACCCCGAGAAGCTGACCCTCCCCTCCACCTCTCGCGATCAGCGGGATGAGTGGAGGTATAGCTGGGATTCTCGATCGCTCCACAAGAGCTCCACGACTCATTAGCCAAGAGACTGATCTGTGCGTGTGTGTGGACTGTGGAGAGCAGGAACATGCACTGAATCTTAGTGGAGTCCTGGACGAGCGTGACTGCAGGACCGGAGTAAAAGCATCTTGTTCTGAAGAGAGTTATGGTGGCTTTGGTGTCAGTAGGCCTGTTCTGATGTGATTGAGTGCTCCGCTGGGTGCAAAAACGTTCTCATAGCTGACTGAGGATGTGATGTGCCCTGTTGGACTATGTCAGCACGAGGCCAGACAGGTATAGGTGACAATACTGGCAGTTCTGGGAATTATTATTGCATACTGGCAGCTCTCATAAACTCACAGTACTCTCTTCAGTCCCAGTGCGACAAGACAGTCTGAGACAAGACAGACAAAGATATTTGGCATTAAATCTGGTGCAAATTCTGGCCAAGAATTGTCTATTCAGATAGAGTGTGAGGGGGCATATGAGTGACATATAAAAGAGCCAAAACACAGTCTGCTCATTTTTATGTGACATTTAGGGGCAGGTAAATATGAAATTAACGATACTACGAAAATAGACTGCTATGCATCACAGAGGTTGTCCTGCAAACGTTCATCAACAAACAAAGCAAGCCGCAATGTCTGATTTGCGCACAAATGACTCTTACAATCTAGTTCTTTTCCAGTTAGTCATAATGATTCATAAATAAAAAAATTTTGTTACATCCAACTTGCTAATCAAGTAATTGAAGATACATTACTGTTGAAAATTGTGGGGTCAGTAAGATTTTTTGAATGAGAACGCTGCATTTATTTAATAAAAACACAGTGAAAACAGTATTACTCTGAAATAATATTACATTTTAAAATAACTGTTTTCTTTAATATATTGCAGTTTATTTGCAATTTATTTGATCTTCTTCTTTTGGAAGAAGCTCAAGAAAAATGTCTTGATTATTACCAATGTTGAAAACATTTGAGCTGGTTAATATTTTTTGTGGAAACTGGGATACATTTTTTCCTCAAGATTCTTTGACTATTACAAAGTTCAAAAGAACAGAAACTATCAGATTTTTCTTTTTTTAATTAAATGTATTTTA